GCTACTGAAGGATATCCTAAGAAGAAAGGTGAGACACTAAAGCATCAGACACATATTCTTTGGCATTATCCGAATGAAGAGCACGAACAATGACATCAAATTATGTCTTAACCATCTGAAGAAACTAAGTGATAATAGGGAGTATATCGCACTTTCTATGCAAAAGACACTCAATTACAACGACTATAGTCATCTATAAATGTCATATAGTATCGAGCACCTGACAGAGTAGTAATAGGGGAGGGTCCCTAAATATCAGAGTGTATTTGGTCAAATAGTTTAGGTGACTGATACATGCGAAGAATATAACTGATCATAACATGTTTCGATAACGAACATATAATACAGTCAGGTTTACCACAAACACAAACATTACTCAAATTAGGAAACAACATACATAAATATTTAAAATTTATATGCTTAAAATGGTCATGCCACAACTGAACAGTTTGTGACGAAAAATCATAATGACAAGTACTAGGTAAAATACTAGCATGTAAGTTAGGAATAGATAAAGATAAAGCAAGTGCAAGTGACGTAAGTGTAGGAACTAGTGAAACGGGAGGTGGGTCGCCTAGATAATACAATTCATCTCTCTCATGTCCCCTAATAATAATCCTCCTAGTACTCAAGTCCTGCAAATAACACGAATCAGATAAGAACACATCACACAGTGAAAATCTCTAGCTAACTAATGTACAGATAATGGATTCATTGCCAGCTTTGGTGCATGAAAAACCAAATGTAATGCAAAGTCATTTGGAAGGCAGATTGTACCCCTACTAACAATAGGGGCATGCGTCCCATCTGCTAGCTGAATCTGTTTATATAACTGCTCGTCAAAAGTGATTAAGTGATGAGCCTCACCTGTCATGTGACCCTTCGCACCCGAGTCCAGCATCTAAAGGAGAGACGGACTGGCGCAAGCATGAAAGGAATGAAGTATACTTGTAGTGGTCGCCATGGCAGTATCAGACCCTAAGAAATCAGAACTGATATAAGTATATCCAATCGAAAAATGATAGCATCCATATTACTCTACCAAAGAGAAGCAGTAACAGTAGCAGCGATAGTAGGTGGTGGTACCTCAACAATAACAGTTGTACGACCGTGAGGAGGCTGCTTAAGCTCCTTATGGAGCTTCCAGCAAACAGCTCTGAGATGTCCTAATTAGCCACAATATTCATACTGCCAAGAATCTCCTTGTCTACGCTGATCTTGCCAAGAAGGAACAGTAGCAGGAGTAGTGATAGTAGGTGGGGATATCTTAGCAATAGCCGCAGTACGGCCACGAGGAGGTGACTTAAGCTCTGAATGGAGCTTCCAGCAAATAGCCCTAATATGTCCTAATCGACTACAATAATCACACTGATGAGAATCCCCCTATCTGCGCTGATCTGGGGTGCCCTGACGACTCTGGTCTGGGCGCTATCCACCCTGGTTGAGGATTGTGAATGAGACCCTTTAGCAGCTACAAGAGTCATCTGGTCAGTCTGAGAAGTCAAGGTCGTAGCTGAAAGTGATACAATATGGACGTGGTGCTCATACTGCTCAATCATTGCATATATCTCATAAAGAGATGTAAGCCTAATCATCGACAAGATCTGGGAATAAGGTCCCTCAACTCATCACGAAATCCTGTAAGAAACTTGTGAATCCTATCCTCCTACTTTCAAGTATGCATGAATGTCGCCTCCTTGGGCTCTATCCTCGAAATAGTAGCAAGAGGACGTAAAGTCTAATATTTAAGTCAATACTGGGTCAAATAGCCATAATAATCTTGAACCATCATATCTCCTTGCCAAGTATATGAGAGCTTTCGAGACAACTCATAAACACGAACTCCACGTATTAATTGAGAATACATATCTAATAATGCGCTCTATAACTTCGGCACAGATCTATGAATTTGGTGAATCCAACAAACAGATAGCTCCATCGAGCCAAATAATCATCCAAGAATAGCGCAGTTCTCAGAGAATCTCACAGAATATCCAGGGTTATCATCAGCTAGCTTTGAGTGAGATTTCGTTAGCAAACCCAGCTTCCCTACACAACCTAAAAAAAGTTAGAATGAGCGTGACCACCATTCAACAACTATGTCGTAACCTTCTGAGAGATCATACCCGGCATTGCCAGTAATATAACTGTGTCAGTAGGTACTGTATACTGGTCAAACATAAAAGTGGGAGAACCAGCTGGAAGTACTAATAGTAGGGATATCAACGATAGCAGTCTCAAATCCTGTAATAGTAGTCATATCAACAATAATATGTGGGCTCCCGTGACAAAAAAACACTCTAAGATAAATAGATGAACAAAATAATATATAACAATATACTTCTAGTCGAACAGTAACGATAGATAAAGAAGATCCAGAAAATTTTCAAATAATCATGTCACGATGCCTAGAAATTCAATAAATATATAATTTATTTACTACATCAAAAGTAGATCAACGGAGAAAGAAGATCCAACCCCTCCTAAAAATGTCCTAGATGCTGCAACTTTAGGAAAAAAGGATGGCACAAAGAGATGACAACACTGCAACGAAGAGCGCGAAACACAAAGGCGTTGGGCTGGGCAGTGGGTTTATTGCTAGGTGGAGGTTTAATTGGGTTTGCAGGTTGTGGGGTGCCTATGTTGGAGTGGGGCTGTTTCACTAGTTGTAGTGGTTGGGTAGTGGCTGGTTGGGCTGTCGCTGCTGGCAGTTGGTGGGTGTGTTACTAGGCAGTGGGTTGGTTGCTGGTTGGTGGTGGTGGCTAGTAGTTGGTATCAGGTTCGTTGTGTGGCTGTTTGGGTTAGAGGATTGGTGGGTTGACTGGCTACTGGGTTACTGGTTTCACTGGGCAGTGGGTTGGGTCGTTGGTTTGCTGGTTGTCTGGCTACTGGGTGTTGCTGTGTGGTAGTCTGGGATGTGGTGCTATTTGGGTTGTGGTGCTATAGGTGTTTGTTGTTGTGGTGCTGCTAGTCTGGTGGCTGGGCAGTCGTGGCGTGGTGACAGAGGTTGTTGGTAGCAGGCTATTGCAAATGGAGGAGGCTAGGGTTAGGGTTGGCGTTTAGGGTTAGAGGTGGGGGCTAGGGTTTTGGCTCTGATGCCAACTAAAAATATCTAAGTCAGGATGATACAAACTAAGTGTAGAGCCTCATATATATAGCCAAATAATAGCATAAAATGACCTGAACACCCATTTGGTTTAGACAAGACATAAAAGTCATAATAAGGGTATAAATAAAAAACACAAGAGAAAACCCTAATAAACTAGACTATAACTCCAAAAACCTCCAATTGCCATAGATGAAATGGAAGCCCTTCAAATGTAATCTAACCTCCCAATAATGAAACCTTGCTTCTAAATGCATTGGATTCTGGTCTCCACTGCTGCAACTTCACATTAACAAAATTTTGCATCAAACAAGTTTCTTCTTTGCATATCTCTTCTGCCTTTGTGATAGAATTAAAGAAAAAAAAACTGCTTTTTCTACTTGGAATGGATTTAAATCAACTTCAAGATCATTTGAAAAAGAAGAGGAAAGAATAGTATTTCATGCCTTGATAAGGAATTCTCCAGTAGTCTTAAGGTTGTAGTTGTTGAACGCGCAACCAGAGAGCAGAGCTATAGGAGCTAATAGCCAATAGGATATGAAGGTACCTAAGAACTGCTTATTACATTCCAAGGATGAAACAAACTATATGTCCGCAACGTACCACAACCTTCTTCCATTTTTCCTCCTTAGAAAACGTTGCCTCATCTTCCAAAGCATATAATTGACTCCAAGGCTTCGGATCCTTTCCATCGTTACCATTCTTCTGAATCGATCCCCTCTTTATTCCTCCAGTTTTTATTTCTTCCTTCCCACTGAAACTTCCAATAATGTTCCAAACTCAATCCATCTTTTTGCATCTACACCTTTAGGGATAATTAATCCCATCCTTCTTCCATTATTCATTTACTTTGTAACTCTAAAAAAGGCAACATATTTGCTTGCCTCCATTTCCACCCACAGACAAAATCTTGCATCTCTAAGTTTCTTAAGAAACACCCCTCTTTGATTTCAATACACAGCATCGTCAACGGCCTTCATCAACCGTAACATACCTAACTAATTAAAAACACAAGAAAATGAATCAAATCTATTTCATTCTGTAATCTGAAAACCACTCATTATTCAGCCCTTTACCAAAAAATGTTTTTTGTTCAATCTTCGATTCCATAGGAACACTAGAAGAGACAAACGAAAACTTCAAGCACGATATTCCTTTGTTTACGTCTGTAATCAACCCATATCCCTTAAAGTCAAGTAAGGGCACTTGGAACATAAGAATAGTGATACTCGGGTTTTGGTCTTTTCAGAGGAAGCGAAACAGAATTTTCATCCCTTACAGGGAAAAAAGATATTGAAGTATGATGATGTGAAGAAAATAATAGGGAGTTAGATACACAGGGACGAGTACGAAGCTACGAATGTGTATCTGTAGGGGCAATGAGGACCAATAAATCACAGCATAATACTGCAAAATTATTCTCAAAAACCCTCTGTCAGAAGTCAGAATGGTGTTTTAATTAATGTTGGAATTAGCAGTCCATGGCGCCAATACTAGAACAGGAAAAATCATCATCTCAGTTAAAAGAAAGGTCTTTCTGGATTACAATGCCAGTCGGTTTTAAAATTTGTCAATTCAAGGGATGCATGAAGTATAATTTCTGATGTAAGGGAGGCAAACACATTTAACATGCACAGTGGTCAAACAAGATACGAGATGCAAATTCACATATTACAAGTTTAAGTCTCATTGGTCAAATAAAATCCGAATTCAACCAAGGAACGTGGTTAGTGAACGATGCATCTATAGTTTACATAAAAACCACGAGTCCAAATAGCACACAGTTGAAATGGAGGTAAACAAAATGCTGGTTCTTGAATGCATACCAAGCATGAGGGACTATCATCATCTGCTGCTATTAGAATGCACTGAGAAACACTTCATCATCAGGAGTTTGTATTTACAAATGTTCCCAACAGATGGTAGCAGTCAAAGTTATTGATACAGTGCTGTTGTGTTTTTCTCAACGACAGCACCGAAAATTCTTCCAACAAAGATAATATGGCGATGTAAGCAGGGAATCGAGTAGCGGAGTAGGTCACAAAGATAGAGGCATATATACCAGAAAATAACCAAAAATCATAACTTTTATACGCCAAAAGTTGCCCTTCTTTGCCTGATAGTAGTTGTTCAACCAGCCTTCAATCAGCTTGATTTCAGTTGCTCTCTGCTGCAACAGCCAATCAGGATCCTCGGCAGTTGCAGCACGCAAATCTAAGTGATGGGCACCTAATAAACCATTAAAGAAAGGTGTCAGTTTCAGCACAACTACAAAGTTTGTCCTAGCTGCCAAGCCATTGATCTAACATCTTGAAATTACGAATGTTATTCAAAGACACCGTCCTGTAAGCGGAATCAAATTGCACAACACATTCACCCTATTTTATCCCACGATGAAAGCCATGCAGCAACTTGCATTGCCTATACATCTTTTGAAACATGCATTGCCTATACATCTTTTGAAACATACATTGCTTCTATCAGACAACACTGATAGTGTAAGTACATATTTCTCTACTACCGACTCTCATATGCTGGGTCCAGAGCCTCATCAATCAGGACAATTCATCTGGATTCAGTTTCACAATATAATTTCTTTGCCAAAAAATCAATCATGATAACCAGAAATGATACTCGAAGTGACGAAATGCATGATGTGAATGTAACTATGTATAACTACTCACTAGTCAGGAGCCAACAACTTCCACATAATTGGCCTTAGGTGAAACTTCTTAGTCATATTTATTCAAAACTAAGTAGTTGCTCTTGCTCAGGTGGCCACGCATTTGTTCACACCATCCCAATCAAGTCCATGTGGCTTGTCACATGAACTAGAATCCAATTTTAAACAATGGCCACAATAAGTACCAAAATGTGTGCATGGCTATATTGTTCAGTGTTTTAAAAACCAATCCGATCCGATAGGTTGACTCAGGGAACCCGGTGAACCAGGCACTAAACCAGGCCAGTTCATAACTTAGATTGTTTGAGCATCAAACCCACTAAAGACCTGTTGAACCGGGCACTTTTTTAAAAAACTGTCCAAACCGGGCGGGTTTAGGGAAAATTGGATGAGTCACTTGAAGGCTTATAAAATGCAATTTCGGGCTAAAAATGTAGTCTCTCATCTCAGCCTCTCTCTCTAATCTCAAACTCCCTTCGTCTCTTGATCTCTCGATTGTCCCAGCAGTTACCACCAAGTGCACCACCATCATCAATCCGTTCATGACCTCTTGCTACTAATTATTCTTTCTCATGTTTCGTTTCCTTAGCAGGAGGGTTAATAATGCTTAAATCGAAGAAGGGTTAATCATTCCTTCTCAATATGTTCAATCCACTTGAATTGAAGAAGGGTAGGCCATCGGATGTCATCAAATTATGTCCCACTTCGTGTTTTCTTGCTTGAGTCACGATCAAGTGCATTGTCGGCTTTTCGATGCAATTGTGCAATTCTCTCTCAGGTTTTGAAGATCTAATTTTTGTTCCATTGTCTTTTTTTTTTTTTCAGTTGTGTTTGTTGTTGATGAATCTTGAGATCATTTTGGTGTCAAACCGAGTTGAGCATTGATCTATACTTTGTAGCATGAGTTTTTAATTATTTTCATATGTGGATGTATGAACATTGTAAGGTTGACTTGGAAATTGGATGCTTATGGGTTTTTGTTTGATATAATATACATTAAACATGTTAATTTTTTTATTTTATTATGTTTTTTAGCATATTTATTATCATTAAAAAATATTTTTTTATTACATAACTGGTCTAACCAATGACGAAACTGTTGCACCAGCGACACATTAACCCAGTTCCTTTGCCCAATTGATGTCCAGGCTGAGTTTAAAAACCAAGATGCTGTCAACCAAATTTGAAATACAAGTCCAGATTATGGAATACATAAGTGAAGCGGTGCTTTAGTAGGGAAATAATGCGTGGTTCATTTAGTAAAGGTTGTTATTTAATAATTTGTGCTCAACAATTACAACAAAAAAGGGTCACGGTCATCAGAAATAGACAAGCATGTGTATTTGGCCATGCTTGAATATACGACCATACCTCCAAGCCCGTATGCTTCAATGGACAAGATGCATGACCATCAAGGAATGCAGCAACATTGGATAGACCTGTTACACCTATGCGACCTATAATACAAACAGAAAATAAGAAGGTTACATGGCCCAATGAGTAACCAAACATGTTCTGTGGTTCTCATCCTCGAGCATACATAGAGTTGCTATGCAATTCTTGTCCACACTAATGAGGATGTGTAGCACTTTCAAGAAATGAGGATGTGTAGCACTTTCTAGAAATGAGGATGTGTAGAATGCAGTGTTAGAATGACCAATAGCATAGTTCAACCAAAATGCTGACGAAATTAATCACCCACATGTCAAACCGATCATGGGTAGGGCAATTGAGACATAGACAAATTAAAAATTCTAAAGATATACATATAGATAGAAATAATATGTGAGGCAACTGTCAAGTTCCACTGATGATGCAATTGAAAACAATGCACGGTTGCTTTAGCATGCCTTCAACGTAGCTAATTGCCAAAAATGAAAAATGATACGTAATTATAGCGTTACCGTTTTCTGTAAGGGCAACAATAGTCTCAGATACATCCTCCAGAACACTGCACCAGATATTCGCATCCATCACAATAATATATATATTTCTGACAATACTGTAGCCAAATAAAATGACTAACAGGTCACCTGCCGCCACTACAAGGATCCAATAGGCCATTGGAGAATATGATTTTACTTCCAAACAATTTCAAGGCACTCTTGAAACCCTGCATTAGAATTCAGAATAGAGAATTTGAAGTAACACATACATAATATAAGGATGACACAAACAATTGGTTTGAGATCAGTTGTGCAAGACCCAAAAGGTAGCTCATAGAAGAAGAAATCATGCGACTATGAATATCCTTCGTAGCATATCTACAGTAAAATAGGAGGCAACTGAGGTGGGAAAGTAAAACATGAACATAAGTACATCATGAGCAGTAATGTATGCATCCAGCAATGGCTCTTGATACCCAGTTCTTACAAGGCATGGGCCAAATACATTTACCTAGAAGGTCAGCAGAAATTTTATTCAGCAAATTTGCTATCCATATCTTCATATGAATGTTAGCAGGTAGGTTACACATTCTAGAAATCCTAATGCAGAACATTTCACTTTCGTTTTGACTCATGAAAAGAGACAGTCATCTTTGGACTTCTATTGAGAGTTATTTATTTCATTTGTATGCTATCCCAATAAAAATGTTTGAATATAATTTAAAATTCAAGATAATGTGGGACCCTCTCAGATACATCAATTAAAGCAGACAAGGATGCCACTAGCATTATGTTTCCCTACAACATCAAAACTCTGGCCGTTTTGACCACATCCAAGGATTAAGGGAAGAGGACAATATAAGAGCATCTCCAACCCTTACTCAAATTTAGACTCAAATTTAAATTTGAGTAAAAAAATTCAAAAATTTTGCTCTAACCTTTGACTCAAGCTTATGCCAAATTAAGGGAGGCTCTTTTTTTTTTACTCAAAAACTCAAATCTTTAATGATAAGATTTCACTCTTTTAAAAATCTAATGGTTATCTTTACTCTCTTTTAAATTTGACTTTGCCCACTGGAACCGTTTGTATCAAAATCAAGTTTTTTACTCAAATATTAATTTAAATTTGAGTAATGGTTGGAGATGCTCTAATAAACTCTACAGGCATAGCATTTTACAAAGTATGCAGGCCACCATTCTCTCACATGTCCACCAAATTCTGTAGTGATCCATGCTGGCCTTGGTTTGACACAGAATTTCTTCTAGCACCACTCTTGGTCAGAAGTGTAATTATAATCATATGGACGAAACATGCTTGTGTCCTTGCTACTAGACAATGGCATAATCATCTCAGTGCATTCCTGTAAAATGCAACAGAAAGTGATAGCACACAAACAATTACTCACTGTATTTCTGAGTAAGAACTTCATGTGAGAATTTACACCTTAACAGTATACTTTCACCAAAAAAAGTGGACAAGAAACTTTGAATTTAGACACTCGTGTACCTGCCATATCCAACCATCTGTGCCATGAGGATCATCATCCAGGTCAAAGCAGTCAACTGCTCCGGTATAATTATAATAGACACTTATTCCTTCAAATATGCGCTCCAAAATGCTGGTTCTATCAGAACAACTGTCAATCTTTATACACACCTGACAACAACAAAAACAATCATCAAATGAAAGAAATAAAGAAATGAGAATAGACCAGAGGAATGTCCTGCCAGCTTATCTTGGTACAAACAATAATGTATCAAAGCCACTATATTTCCATACAAGAAAAGGAACAGAACAACGTAAATCCATTTGGTTAATGCTTCAAGACAGGTTCTGGTAGTCACAGAAAGTTAATAGAAAATTTTCACTTGGGAAACAGCTTGTCTGATTGCTCTATAATGATTAGGCAAAAGATTACAGGTGCACGCACATATCTGAGAATGCGAGTCAGGACTGTTTGTTTCTGTCATACAAAGACGGTTTTACTTAGAAATAGAACAGCGCATATAGTGATAAATATTTCAGGTAATGTTAATGAATACCAGAGTTTCCTACGAGGTAGGGCATAAGTAATCACCCAGCAGCACAAACAATAGTTATTTTACTTTGTGAAGAGATAAATAATGTCATCTTGATCAGAAAGCATCAGAAAACAAACCAAGGGAACGAAGACAGAAGGAATAACAACTCATTCAGAAACAAATGTACTCTCTAACTTGAAATGGTATACCCAGTCCTCACTAACCTCATTTATTGGGTTTCCAGGTAAAGGCATCACGAAGTCAGTAGGATATGGGTAGTCTGTCATGGCCAAAAAATTGTAAGCAGATTCCAACCAGTCAGAAAGATCTTCAGCTTTTTCCGGCTCCCTGAATTCATCCTTAATTGAATCAGAATCAATAAACCAGCTAAGCAAACCAGAAAAAACCATTGCAATTAAGATTTTTTTCACTTAAAATGATTACGCCACTTAGTACTATCACAGGGCATATACATGGAACTGGAAACCAACACTTTGTGTTCTGTTCTTACCGACATAAACGGAACATCTTACTGAGCAGCTGAAGGCCATCATTTTTTTGACCCTCATACGTTATTGCATCCCATGAATCTTTTATAGTGTTAAAGCAGCTCATAGTCTCACACTACGTACATGAGGATGGAAGCATTATAATGCACAACAGATATGCATAGTTAATATATTGAAAGATGTTAATGGAAAAATGGTAGAAGAGTAACTGACCTTGAAATCATTGGAGACAATGTCATAATATGTTTCTGCTGGCACAAGATCTTCGAATTGAAGCACTGGTGCCAAAGCTGCAAGTGCGCCTATGGCAATATGGGGATATTTGAGCCTCATCCATGCTGCTAACACTGTTCCATTCACAACACCACGAGCATTTCAATTGTTAGAACATAGTTTTGAATCATACCACTTGTTGGTTTTGTATAACGAATAATTAACACAAATAATACTTGTTGGAAAATAGGATATAGGAAAACAATAAAACAAAACACAAAGATATATTGTGGTTTGATACAGCATATCTACTGTGGTACACCGTACCTACATCCACGAACCAAGAATTTATATCGATGTATTATTCACTAAAATCTAGTCATCTGGTAACTGATTACATAATACTCAATCTTATTTATAGGATAAAATATTGTAACTCAAATTTATTCAGATACAACTTGATCTATATGATTCATATCACATGTCTAATATACCTATTAATGGTATATTAAAACTCTTCCAATATAATCCTATTCCATATAAGATTTTCACATTGATTCCCCAACAAACTCTCATTTATAACAATTAAAGAGTTTGGATTAAATTCTAACAGCCTCCCTTGAACCAAACTCTGATTACATAATACTCAATCCTATTTATAGGATAAAATATTGTAACTCAAATTTATTCATATACAACTTGATATATATGATTCATATCACATGTTTAATATACCTATTCATGGTATATTAAAACTTTTCCAATATAACTTATTCTATATAAGATTTTTACATTGATTACTCAACAAACTCTCATTTAGAACAATTAAAGAGTTTGAGTTAAATTCTAACAGTCTCTCTTGAACCAAACTCTGATTACATAATATTCAATCCTATTTATAGAATAAAATATTATAACTCAAATTTTTTCAGATACAACTTGATCTATATGATTCATATCACAACTTGATCTATATTGTAACTCAAATATAGCTCTGATATCACTTCTTGGTTTTGCACAGCGGATAATTAACATAAATAATAGATAGGAATTCAAAGATAGAAAAACAATAAAGTAAAGATATACCATGATTCGATACAGCATTCTCACCTTGGTACACCGTACCTACATCCACGAACCAAGAACCTATATTGATGTATTATTCACTAAAATCTGGTCATCTAATAATTGATTACATAATACTCGATCCTATTTATAGGATAAAATATTATAACTCAAACTTATTTAGATACAACTTGATCTCTATGATTCATATCACATTCATGGTATATTAAAACTCTTCCAATATAATCATATTTCATATAAGATTCTCACATTGATTATCCAACAAATTCTCTTTCATAATAATTAGAGAGTTTGGGTCAAATTCCAACATCAATGAAGCTCACAATGAAACATCTTTGAGCTATTAATACTCTATAAATACTATATAAATAGTAAGTTTGCATTCTATCAGAATGATAAATTGATATCTTACTTCCACCATATGTCCACCAAATAAAACGACAGGGCAAGCCTCAGCAGACAAATCTGGTATAGATGAAAATACATGGTATAAATCTGGTATAAATTTGATCTATACAAATCTGGTATATTTTCATGGTATAGATGAAAATCAGCAAGCGCTTGCTCAGCTGTTAGATGTGATAATGTTGTAGCATTTTTATATGCCTCGCTTCTGCTTCCATACGGCACTGACTCCCCATAATATCGGTGCTGCAGATCAAATTCCCAATTTTCATCAAAGTTTTACCACTACCAGAGCAAGTAATAAACATGTATATTTTGTATAATTCTTGAATAAAACTCAAACAATCGCATGGTGGGATGTCTCAGATTTGCATTGCAAAATATATGCAAAACGCATTCAACTGCAAGTTGCACAGTTTCAATTTTCTTAATGCTTTGTTTGTTCTCCTCGGAAATAAGAAGAGCGAAACAAAACAAAAGTAAATTAAATCTGGATACTTATTAAGGTGGCAACTTGTACAATCATCTATACCATGAAGTTAATCCATTTACCATAACTTTTTGACCTTTCTGCCAAGTAATTCATAGTGCAACGATCTTCTTGCTTAGCTGAACAGAGTTTTACCCATTACCAAATTAAAGCGACTAGAACACAATACTCAATGATAGCCCAAAAATTTTCACTTTTCCTGCGTTTTTCTCACTATGATATTTTGGGAAACGCCATTGGAGAATGGGTTCTTAATAAAAATTTTAACATAATGATCATCCTCACCAACTTCATTTCAAAATGCATTATAATTCAAAATACACATTTCGGTGTTAATCAGGTACCGTTGCCGAAACGAAGGAAGATCGGCGAAGCTGAAGTGGTCCAGTCGCCGCTCGAAGTATCGCGTCTCATATTGGAACTGCGGAGCTCCTCTCAGTTGATTTTTACGGAAGTGCGAGTATTTTCCGAGAAATCGAGTGGGAAATTTGATAATCCATAGACAATTTTAATATAAAAATAATAAACATCAATAAAATAATTTTAATTTTTAGGAGTTTACCCGTATATATGTGGGTAAAATATAATAGAAATACGAAAATTTTATAAATATTTTATATTTTTATTCGATTGCCTGTATATTACGATCTTATTATATTCTACCGATCCTATTACTCAATTACCCAAAAAAAATTAGATACAAGGCCCAACAACCCCAATAACTACGATTTGGGCCATGACGCAAAAAAGAGCGCCCCTTGTAAATTTGGGCTGCCTCTATTAGAGCCTCCAACCTGCTTAGGGTAAAGCCTATGGGAATTGACTGTCGATGGGACACTCCAACCTGCTTGGGGTAAGACTCCTATTTTTTAAGGATTTTTAGAAGCCAGTGCTATTTATAAGGCTTATTTGACAGAAACTCTTTTTAAAAAAACATATTTAATAAAAGTTCACTTTTAATAAAAAAAAGTCAATAATGCCTTTCTTTCCGAATTTCTAGCACTCAAAAACATCGTTCCCCATTTCATAGAGGAAGTCAAACGGACGCCTTTCATTTGCGCCAAACAGTTTTCAATCTACTCCAAACACAGACAACAATTTTGTCTTCCAACGGAAAGTTGCAAATTTCGTCCATTCTATTCCAATCTAGAATATATGTTTCATTATTTTCGTATTCACAATTTTCATAAATAAAATACAATTTTTATCGGCCTAGCAAAGAAGATAGAATCAACGATATCAATTGTCCAGAAGAACTTTCGGGTTGAAGCTTCGATCGCTGGAATAGTTAATAACGCCAGAATAGTTCTTTTACAAAACATAAAAAAGTTTATGAAAACCAAAAAGACATCTCATTGAATCACGCCAACCGTTCTCCACTGCCCTCAAACACAGAATGTGTTTTGATCTTCAAACGAAAAGTCATTGATTTCGCCCAAACTTCTGAATCAAAATAAGATTTTCTGTTCCATTGTTTTTGGAATCATGATTTTCAAGATTTAATGTTGTTAAATTTTGTGATCTTTAAATAACAAATTTGAGTAACTTGTCATATTTTTGTAATATGTTGTCACATTGTTTTTGAGGAACTTGTCACATTATGTAATATGTTGTTACATTTTTTTTCAGTACTTTGTCATTATTTTTTTAGTACATTATCACATTATTTTTAAGTAACTTGTCACATTGTTTAATATGTTGTTATATTATTTTTGAGGAACTTGTCACATTAATTTTTATGTTGTTATATTATTTTTAAAAAAAATTCGATTCATAAAAAAAGGGAGGAAATAGTGAACGAAAACAGAATCTCGCTATAATTGAAAGAAAAAAAAACCATAAAAAAAAATGTTGCAGACGAAAAAATTGAAAAACTTTGTTAGAGAGAATTGTAATGTTGAATAAGACAAACTCTCAGTTCAAAAAGATAATGTCAAATGAAGTGAGACCAGTTTTTTAAAATTCAAATGGTTGAGTATATAATAATAATACTACAAAATTCGAAGGGACGACCCTCTTTCTTTAAAAAAAACTATAAACAATCTTTTCAAATATTTTCATATTTAAACAAAAGGAATTTGATAGACAGTTATGCATGAATCAAGACAGGAATAATTAGGTAATAAAAAAAAATAAAAAGTGTATTTACTTATAATTTTTGATACTTATTTTGGATTTAAATGCTTACATGTTAAGACAGGAAACTTACATCCAAATAATATCTAAAAAATGTACTCACACCCAATTTTCTCTTTTTTTTTTAGAAAAAATTGGGTGTATGTACACTTTTTAAGTCTTATGTGGATATAACTTCCTAATTTTAACATGTAAGCATTTAAGTCCAAAATAAGTATAAAAGAATTATAAGTATGCTTTTCAGTTTCTTTTTTTTTTTTTAAATATTACCTAATTATCTCTACCTTGATTCATGCATAATTAATATGAAAATATTATTTAAGTCCAACATAAGTATAAAAATTTGTAAGTATGTTTTTCAGTTTCTTTTTTTTTTATTTTTTATATTACCTAATTATCTCTTCTTTGATTCATGCAAAACTGATATGAAAATATTTAAAAAAATTCTTTACAGTGTTATTGTGATATATACAACCATTTGAATTTTAAAAAACTGATATCACTTCATTTGGCATTATCCTATTGAACCAAAAGTTTTTTTTCTTTAACATTTTAGTTTTCTTCGAAGAAGCTTTTTGTTTTACATAGCATGCAGTAATTTTTTTTTCTTTTTTTTGTGTAGCGAGATTTTGACTTTTTCTTCATTATTTTAGAGTTTTATCTTCTCTTATAGTCCAACGGAAATTGCTCAGTTGAACGCGTTGGTTTTGTATTTTTTTTTAATGTATTGAATTCTTTTTGAAAATAATATAACAACATAAAAATCAATGTGACAACGTATTAAATAATGTGATAGGTTACTCAAAAATAACTTGACAACATATTAAAAAAATGTGACAAGGTACACAAAAATAATATAACAACATATTAAACAATGTGACAAATTACTCAAAAAATAATGTAACAACATAAAAAACAATGTGACAAGTTACTCAAAAATAATGTGTGACAACATATTAAAATATTATTTATTGCATGTGTCTGAAGGCACAAAGTAATAAAA